TTGTTGGGTGGCTTTAGACAGGGGTGGCTTAAAATTTCCGAAAAAAAACAAAAAAAACAAAAAAAACAAAAGCATCTTTAAATAGGTTATAAGCCAATAGATGGGTAAGATCAGTGATGCATATCTGTTAATAGACAAGGAAATCTTTGCTTTTATATAATTGAAAGCTTATAACACAAACCCTTCAAATATTGAATTGTATTTTGAGTTATTGAGACAAATTAATTAGCTCAACATTACAGATTATGCATTAGGATTGGTGATGCGTTTAAGATGGCTTCCACTCATCTAAACCTGTTGTATACTGTAGGCAAGAATTGATTACATTCATTTCAACCCACTGTACCTTAGGGGTAATGTGACCCGACCTCATGATCTCACCTGCGCTTAGTAATTTAATCCAGCATCCTAAACATTTGAGCGCGTGCAGAATGCACTGGTGCACAGCCTATTCAGTCTGATTGTGCGTACATAATTGTTTTGTTCACCATTGCACACTTAATATGAATTAACAGTGAGTGGTCTAACAGAATGTAAACAATAATCAACACTCATGGCTTGGGCAGTGGTGCTGTACATATATATGGTGTATTGAGAGTGGGTAATGTATAGTAGGACATTGTTAAAACACCATACAACCTTTTCTAGGATACAGTTACTACTTTCAACTGTACTTGAGAAGATAATCATGTGTTAAAGGTGATCTTTGATTGGTAAGCTAGGCTCATCATTTTCAGGTAATAACAATACTTAGAATAACAATAGAAATATGGCTTTTGTATTGCTGGTTATCCAGTCCGTATAATTTAATACAGAATTGATTAATGTAGCATTATTTGTATCAGATATTGTGTTTTGTTATCAAGATGCATATTATAGTAAGTTCAGATTCAAATTTCTTTATTTTATCCTAAAGGAAAGTATAGGTGCAAAAATACATAGCAGAAAAAACTTAAACACAACAATTAAATATTGTGAGTACAAAATCTTGTTGAATTTGTTAGCATCTAATTCCCTATAGGGATATTGGTATTATAATACTAACAGTACAATAAGCAAATTAAATTCATATAAGACGTCTAATATAATCCTGTGTTGTTTTATTTTACACAATTGAATTAAATATTGTGATAATATCATCTTATATTTAGGGATTGGTATTGCTAAACAAATTTGAAGTTCATCTAGTACTTTCAAATTTAGCTTTATCCTGTAGAGACATTTAATACTTTATCCACCTCATCAACCTCATCAAAATCTTCTGATGATCGTTTGTATATATTGATTACTTGTGACAAGAATACTAAAGAGTCCTACTCTCTAGGGTATCATGCTGCTTCACAATATATTATATATGCCTACACTACAGGGAACTAAGCTGTGCACATCATCATTGTGCTGATAGGCAGTGATAGGCCTAGTATGTTAAAATGTCATCTTGAATGCAACTCACAGAATAATATTTCGTTTAATTTCATCTCATTTATTTGTCTCAATATATGAATATCACAAACGATTCAATAAGATAAGGTAACATTTATGTTAAAGCCTGAGACAGGGACACCCCAAAATTGAAATTGAGAAAAAATTAAATTATATTTATATTCAATTTTTATGTTTTTTATATTATATATGCCTACACTACAGGGAACTAAGCTGTGCACATCATCATTGTGCTGATAGGCAGTGATAGGCCTATGTTAAAATGTCATCTTGAATGCAACTCACAGAATAATATTTCGTTTAATTTCATCTCATTTATTTGTCTCAATATATGAATATCACAAACGATTCAATAAGATAAGGTAACATTTATGTTAAAGCCTGAGACAGGGACATCCCAAAATTGAAATTGAGAAAAAATTAAATTATATTCAATTTTTATGTCTGAGAGTACCATCTAGCTACAGTAGAAGTATCATAATCATAAATTTTCTTACCTCGGCCCCAACCATAGTGAGTCTGAGATGGTACTGTATAGACCCTCCATTTGCAATAACTCTCCCTGGGTCCCCATTATTTCAAATTCCTGTATCCTTATCTTGGGCGCTTGTGCCTAAAGAAATGAAAGGAAAATCTGTTGCTTGGTACAGTAAATTACGCATTCTCTGAGGCAGTGGCCCGACATACAATAGGACATTTTTCAGATTTTCTGCTGTTAAAATTTTTTGCTTCTTCGCTGATTTGTTTTCTTATTTATGGTTACTTTGTTGTGACCATCAATATTTATTGTGTTCAAGGTTTCCAGGGCAATTGTAGCTAATATTGACAGTGTTCCGATTAATGTTCTTATGTAGGTGTTCATTGTATTCTTATATTTATTTATATATTTGTATTTACTTATATCCACTCTGGTCTGCCATTGAGGAGTCTGCTGGTAATATTTGTGATATGTCCATAGTTCATTTTCGTTATTTGATGTTATTTGAATCTGTTCAACCATGAAGCCTCTGTGGTCTAATGGTAATGATGCTGCCTTGACAGCGAGAGGTTGCAGGTTCAAATCCCGTCAGAGGCATTTTGTTACACAATTTCTTTATTTTATAGGACAACATTTGTTGAGAGCTATGCTACTCAATGTATTAATGTGTCCTTTATTCAAACAATCATTAGTGGTCGTGGGACTAGTTTGGGCCTTACCTAAGCTGGTCGAACGTTTCGTTTGGGTCTATACCCTAGCTGCACTGATGAGGCCTGGAAGGGTGAAACGGATCCGTCTGCAGATATTGGGATTCCTTCCAGTGGATGCTTAGTTTATTTTGTCATTCTGATCGGATTTTCTCTACTGTTCCGTTTTAATTTTAAATAGTTATTGCATTATGTGGCTGTTTGCTGTTTTATGGGTTTTTCCCATTTGCCTTTAAAAATATATATATATATATATATATATAG